GGGTACCACCGGCTTCGTCGATCCGATCCACAGGATGCTACTTAACAGCAGCAGCAGCAACAACAACAACGCCTCGCCCGCAAAACTGTAGCCTCTCCCGCGTTGAACCCGGCGAATGAGCGCCAAAACCGAAGGAGGCGCTTGTAGCTCGGCTCCTTCAAAGTAAAGCCTCGTCTGGCGCTCCAGATCCGGCGAACTCCGGAGGCGGGAAAAGCAACGTGCCCTTTGGTGCGGCAGGGCACAGGAGGATGGCCGCCTGCCCCCTGCCATGAGCCCGGCCCGCTCCTCTCTGTCTCCCCGCCCAGCCCTGCCCTGCCCTGCCCAGCCGGCAGCCGTGGGGGCCGGGCGAAGTCTCCGAGCTCACGGGAGGCGGAGAGCGCAGGTAGCAAAGGAGGAGGAAGCGGCTGTCGGCAAACACTTGGCGGAGAAACGGACCGCCGCAGCCGAGCTCCGATGGGCGAACTCGAAGCGAAGGATAAGCACGGGCCCGGCACTCACACCCCTCTGGGGAGGGCCCGGACCTCGGCTCCCCATCCTGGCGGCGCCGGGGGAAGGCGCCGAGCTGCGCGCGCCTTCGGCAAACTAGCCCGGCGGCTCCTGCAAACTTTGCGGGGGGCGCGGCGGCGGCGAGAGCAGCGGCAGCGGCGGGAAAGCGCTGAGGCGGAAGACGACGAAGGCGGCTTTAAGCGGCCGCCCGGCTCCGATCGCGGCCAAGCAGGTGGCGGCAGCGGCGGCGGCGGCGTCCGGCTAGGCTCGGGCGCGCTGAGCCCCACTCCTACAGCCAGTTCCGGGGATCCGCGCCCGCTCACCCCCGGCGCGCAGGGGCTCAAGAATCACGGCAACACGTGTTTCTTGAACGCCGTGGTGCAGTGCCTGAGCCACACCGAGCTGCTCGCCGCCTTCCTCCTGCTGGCTTTGCCTGATCCCCCGAGTCCAGCCAGAGCTGGATCGAAAGCCGCCACCGGAGAGGTCACTCGGCACTTGGCAGCGCTTCTACGCGCGCTCTGGACTCTGGAGTACACCCCGCAGCTGTCCGCAGACTTCAAGGTAGGGTCCACGGGAGACGGGAAGGGGCGAGCTATCCAAGCCTACCTGGATTGCTCGTTACCTATAATGGGTCCTCGTGTGTAGGACTGTAGGCTCTCGGTTGGGAAGCTGCGCAGGGAATCATGAATGTCTAAAGCTGTCTGAACGCTTGTGATGTACCTTAAAGTCCATTTCGGGGCGCCGTGTTTTACTCCAGGGTTGTTAAGCGTTGGAACAGCGTGACCCTCTGCAGTCACTGATCGTAATAAGATCGAGTTAATGTAAAACTCCGCCGGAATCTGAGGCAGAAACCAAACGATTGTCTTTTCATGCATCGTTCCAACTCTGGCGGCGCTCTTTGAGATAAGCAGCTGGCGGGAAACGGCTCCATTTACTTAAAATTGGGAGGATCGCTCAATCGTGTTTTTCTCTCCCTGGCCGCCGCCACGCTTTTTAAAGTAAACCGTCTGTCGTTCCCGTGCAGTCAGATTTCGAGAGGGGGGAGTAGCAGCACAAACGCACACACCGGTAGGGACAGAATCATTGTCAACTAGAGGGAAACAGATCTGTATTGATAATAGGAGTACATCGGCCCAAGAGATTCGCGATGGCGTTATTCATGGTTGGGGAGGGAGGTCTGTCTTATTGGGAAACTAGCCTAGTGGCTAAAAGTAGACAGATATTAAAGATACTTGCTTACCTGCTTTGTATTCTGTGCAAATGCAGTGGTTTATGTAGTGTATCTATGGAGCTTGGGTTAGGGAGCTGCCTGTGTTTTAGCTCCCTGTCAGAACTAGTGAAAGAATAAAGGCTAATTTGTGGATGATAGAAATTTTTTTTGCCACTCCAGGCAGGGTAGTGATAACTGCCTAGTGATAACTGTCATGCTTGAGCCTCTCCTACAATTTCTACAGTTCCTGGCTCACAGGATCAACTTGTGCCACTCTGAGAACAGTGATTATAAGTTATCAAGTAAGTGACAGGTTAGGAAAATGTGTGCTTGGCTGTTTCAAACAGTCCTATTTTTCCCCATCCTGAGCAAAGACCATAACAAGGTATTGTGCCAGAGAGGTAAATATTAAGTACTGATTGTCTCAGAAGCTTTCCTCAATTTTGTAGTGCTCAACTTCGTCCAGACCTTTGAAGATGAAAAGGAGAGATTTATTACTAAGCAGGAGCCCTGCAACTCCCTGCCTGTGCTGAAGCCCAGATGATATTGAGGCAGCCAGGCAGATGAAGTACACCTGCAGGTTGGGAAACAAAGATCAGAGGAACAAGATCATCAAGCTGGGTCACAGCCTTCTTCTCCCAGAGCGCTGTGCTAATCGCAAGCCAGTGGGGATGGAGGGGCTTTTCATCACACTGTCCCTCAGGTGCTGATTTTAGATCAAAAGCACAGATCTGTGTGAGCGATCTCTTCTTCCTCCTCCGATTTCCAACTAGGCACAGACAATCAGGGCTCTTTCCTGTTACCTGAACTCATGAAGAGTGAGAGACCAACCCCCCCCACCACCAAAAAACAAGTAGAAGGAAACAGGAGAGGTAAAGTCAGTCCAAACCAGTTGCTGAGAAGCCTCAGAGTGACAAAGAGATATTCATGTTTCCTAAGGAGGGGGTGGGAATCTTGTGTGCTGCTTGCCTTTGGGCTTTTTTCCTCTGCTTAATCAAGCAAGTGATGCTAGGCCTGCTCTGCAGGAACCGTAAGTGACCTGAGCCAGAAGTTTGCCAGCACAGTTTGTTTACATTTTCTGCAATTCCTGGGTGGAGGAGGAAAAAAAATGGATTGGTGACACTGCAGAGAAGGAATGTACAACTTCTATCAGCTTGGGGGCAGCACTAAGCTTTGCATAGTATATCAAGGACCATATCCCAAATGTGTTTGAGACTGGTATCCGACTTACGACATGGAATGGATCCTAAGCCTTTGTATTTTACCCCTCCCAGGCAAAATAAGACAAAGGTCCAACCCAATCCCCTCCCCCCTCCCACAACAAGGATAACATGTTTGGATGAACCTTTTTTTTAACAGGGTATCTTGGGGTGAAATCAAAGATGAGTCAGTTGCAGTGAGATTGAGGATCAGTGGAAAAGACTTCTCATTCAAAAGAAGGAATTACAATTGGTATGCTGGAATTTCCTATTTGGCGAATAATGTGTTCTCTAGAAAAGTGGGCCTAGAAGATAGGATTAGGAGCGCCTCTGGGCTGAGGGCTTCCCATTTCTGTTTGTTTGTTGTTGAAGGTATTATCTGGCACTTTTTGTTAGCAGATTAGATTCTTTGGAGGTGAGCCTCTTCTGCCTCTGGAGCTCCTGTTTGGCTGTGGTCTGTCACAGGCTCTTTCAGCTCTGGTGAAATCTCTTGTTTCTAATTCCGCTGTTTGACAGTCCTGCTGATAATAGGATAATGTGTGTTTGTCTCTCCCTTTTGATGCAGCGGCCTCTGTCAAAGGTGAAATTGTTCTGACTTCTTCCTGGTTTATTTATTTATTTATTTATTGCTCTGGGAATGTACACTTAGTTGGATATTAGGTTACAGGCAAGGATTTAGAAATAGGAAACTGAGGTTTCAGATTTTCCAGACTTAGGCTTCTCAAGGGAAAATAGAAACAAGAACAATGTAGATATTCAGTTTTAAAATGCTCTTTGGGAAGAATGTAAACAAGATGTACATCCCTTATTATACAAGGCATCATGTTGCATAACTGATTTATTTCTATGGTTTTTTTTCTTAAATCTGATAGTCTGTTTAATAAGAAGTTAGTTCACATGCAAAAGGATGGGAAATAACAGCCTTTGGAAACCTTTGGTAAATACAAAGGCAGTGGAAATTCAAATGGAAAGGCAACAATTACATAGATGCAAATAGAAGAAACTAAGGCTCAGGACCACTCATGTATCAAAGATCAAGGTATGGCTTTACATGTGTGAATGAGTCATTAAAGGCCTTAACTCTAGATACAAATACTTGTATGTTTCCAGAGTTCCAAAGATTAGTTTAATGGTGTAGGTTGCAGTCAGAACATGGAATATTCTATGGGAAATTGTAAGCTTCCTATTTTTGTTTTCCTATTTGTGGAAATAGTCAGTGGTTATCTGACAAATGAGGAAGCTGTTGCTGTATCTACCTGATTATTTTTCCCACCTTGCCATATTTGGCACACTGCTAATTCCTGGTACAGCAATTTAAAGGTAGTCTTAATAGGATACTCATCCTGAAGATGGACAGGGGTAGGTGGGCAAAGTCTGTGAATTTAAGTTGTTTGTATAGAAACCGATGCAGCCTGGAGCATTTTAAATCTAATAATTCAAATTTTATCTCTGCTGTGACTTTCCCACCTGGTGTCAGACAAACCTCTGATCTTATCATCTGCAATATGGAAATAATAATAATGGCATCTATCTTGTAAGATTGCTGTAAGGTTAGCACCGGACTAAAATTTCTCAGTTGATTTCAACCCTCAGAAGTGAAACATGCATGTGTGTAAGGATAGCATCATTATTTTCCACATAGGCCTAAAATGGGGTAGAATATTTTGTCCTTAAGAGTTACGGATAGTATACTACTACTAGTGACTACAGTAGCCAGAATGAGTAAAAGGCAAGCCTTCCTATGTCTTCAGCTGATGAAATGTGTGTTGGAATGTTGAACATACAGTAGATTGGGAATGAAACCTGCATTCTTAGGCATAATGACTTAGAGTGGATTAGTCCTATTAAATGCAGGGAATCTTTTTTCTAGGCTCCCTTTATAATTACCGACTCACACAGAGAACTTTAATGTTTCATTCATGCATTTAAGATTAAAGAAATGAATGATGACTTCCATTGCCATCACTTTCACCTCAGGTGCAGGTTTGCACTGAAATCCACTGGCTTGCTCTTTCGCCAGGCAGAATATGGATATATAATTGGCTTATAATATATAAACCAATTTTATGATCCACTTGCTGTCAGCCTACACAGCCACTAGCTTTTTCAAGGTATCTTCTTAGTCTGTGGCCTTTTTATGGGATTGATCGATTGGTTTAATCAATCTATGAAGCAGTTCAGAGGAAGAGTTAGAACACCTAAAGCTTGAACTTAAAATTTAGGGTCTTGATTTCACATTTCAGAAAAGAAAGCAAGGTAATCAGATTTCACCCCTTTGCTGGAATGTGATTTTTTTCTCCCCGTGGTCTGTATAATTTCTTACATAAATAACAAGACACAGTTTGGAAGGGAGGAGGGGAATGGGAAATTAAAATATTACCTTAATCTCTGTGTTCCAAAAGATGGAGTTAGATAACCTCCTTTTCAACCCTAGGCTACATTTCAGGTTAGAGTGTTTGGTAGGAGGGGCCTTTGGCATATACACACCCTCTGTTTGTTTATTGTGATATTGAATAGTGAGGTTTGCTAGGAGCTGTGTTCCCAGGAAACAGCAGAGGAGAGGGAAGGAGTTTGTGTAGGAAAAGCCAGGGGAAGAAAAGAGACCATTTCTCCTGTGCTAGGGCTATCCCAGGCAGTTTCACATTTATATGATGGAACACAACGTGCCCTTTTCTAATTTTATCAGAGTTTTTCTCATCTATTTCTGGATTATGAAGGACTTGGCAATACAACAACTGCACTGAATCATACATAGACACTTTCCCCATTGTCTAATCACTTGGGAAATAGCTCTTTAGGGACCCTCTTAAGTAGTCTTACCCTGGGAACACAAGGAAGATCTTTTTAATTTCTTTTCTTTTTATTTCTAATGGGCAGGTAAAAAAAAAGAGAATCCAGCTTCCTTGCTGTTGAACACTGCCTCCAGCATGGACTCACTTGGTTGCTTCTGCTGCAGTTTTTAAAAAACCCTAAAATGCTAAATTGGATTTGAAGCTCTTGTTAGTGCACAGTCCTTCACAGCAACATTTTAAAAGTCAGGATATTTTAAGCCTAAGAAAGGAAATGTTATCCTTCATCTCTGAGACTCTAGAACTCTCCCATTTGCTCTTTTGGCCCTTTCTGTACAAAGAATTCCCCTACTGTGCTCTACC